GGGGGTCAGGATACATGGCAAAAGGGAGAGAGGTTTAAAAGACAAGGATATGGTCCTTAACCTATTGATGGATCCAAACCAACCCAATTAATTTTAAATACAGCGAGATGAATTTTTCAGGAAAAGGAAAAAAAAAAGTGTGATTCTCATTTTAGTCCAAATACTCATGGAACAACAGCCTCCCCGTAGCCACCAGTCTGGTGATGATGTGCCCCTCCCTGAGTGCAGTGAAGAAAGTCAAGGGCAGACATGGTGAGAAACCTGACTCCCCTGTACCAGCTGGCACCCCATCCCCAGGAGGAGGGGGTCCAGGTCTGTCTCAGCAGAAGCAGCAGGGCCAGGAAGGGTGACCAAAGGAGCAATTCCAAGCTGAGCATGAGGCAAAAGTGGCCTGGAGAGGGATGAGCGGGAGATTCCCCTGAGGGATTTGGGGGGAGGAGGGCTCTGTTCTCCCCTCCCCATTAGGATGCTTTACCCAAACTATTTAAGGGATCTTGCTGTTGGGGCTGAGCTTTGGGGCCCCAGCCCTCAATATATATGTACACATGGATTTCTGGTAAAGTGCTGCCTTGGCCGTTCTGAGCTCCATCACCAAACCTATGGTCCGATGGGGTGATGATGCCTTTCTTAAAAGGATTACCTGTCACACCAGGGAGCCCCTGGGGGTGGTCACCGACTCCAGGCCTTATGTTAACCGTGCATGATGGCTCACACAGAGCAAGGGTTAAGAGGGACAGCAGGACGCCTGTCATGTACCTCCCACATCTCATGTTCCGGCTTCACTCACTTACTCCTAACATCCCAATAACCATTTCTTCCAGATTAGTCGAGAGGAAATGAAAGGGTCATTTTCTTCATCACTGCACACAGATCAGAAGGCCGTGCTCTAGACACCTAGACTTGGCATCCGACAAGACAGACATGGTCCACTGTTGTGGAACATGTTCTAGTGTGGGAAAGAGACGGTCAATAGACAAAATAATTCTTCGCTCAGATATTAAAAAAGATGAAATCTTGCATTTATGACAACGTGGATGAAGCTGGAGGGGATGATGCTAACTAAGCAAAATAAGTCAGAAGGAGGACAAATACCAAATGATTTCACTCATACTTGGGACATAAACAGGAACACACAAAACTAATCCTATAAAGCTGATTGAAGAATTGAACCTACCAGAGCAGGAGAATGGGGGATGGGGAGTAGAGGGGAGAGGGACCCAACCAAATACAGCAGAGGATTAGTAGGGATTTGGTGGTGGGGTGGGGTGGTAGCACACATACATCTGAAGAGGTGTGAACCTGTATCAAGAAATCATATACAGTGTTGTATGTCAAAATAATAGAATTAAAAATAAGTAAAAGATGCCCAAAAAATAAACATGGTAAAAAAATTCCAGATACAGATAAATACTATTAAAAAAAATGGTTGATTTGACAGTGATAAACAGGAACAGGAACAGAAAAAAGCAGGCTCCAAATACTGGTTTCATCTGATATCCAAAAGTAGACTATTCCTATGAAAACTTTCAGAAGCTGAAATGCAGTGAAGAGGTAATTTCTATGGAAACATTCTGAGGTATTCCAAACACCAAAAAATAATTCGTCAACTCATACCAAATAACACAGAAAACCTAAATTCACACTCACATCTCACAGAAGCTATGCTATGATAATGCACAGCCTGTGTAAAGTAGTTCCAGGAAGGATCTGGAACTCTCATTGCTGGCATGTCGCTCCCTCTAGAAGGTGGCTACAAAGCCACTGCCAAACGTTGTGTTCACTTTTCACCTTTTGTCATAAAAGCAAAAATCTTCTTGAGATGTCTTTTGATTAGTGAGAAAAGGTATTAATTTAGGTCTTTCATGAAAGTGAAACTTTTGAAAAATAGGTGATCTCTATAGATCAGCCAGCGCAAAGGCTCTGAGGCAGCAACAGGCAGGAAGAGGGGTCCACAAGGCTGGAAGCAGTGAGGGACAGGGGCAAGGAGAGCAGGCCAGGGCCCAATCGCCAGGTATCACAGGTAAGAGTAAGGACTGAGAACGTTAATTACTGTACACGCAATGGGAGGACCTTGGAAGTCTTTAAGCAGAGCAGTGACACAATTTAAGTTCTGGTTGTTGTGGGAAGAACAGAGGACCAGTGTCAGGGTTAGAGAGATGAAATAAGCAGCTTAGAGTTTCGCTGCCATTGCCAGCTGACATCCAATATCAAGGTTGGTTTCCATGGTGTTACCTTTTACACATCATTAGCACCAATGCTCCACTGGACTCTCACCTCTGACAAGGTGGGTTCCCACTACCTCCACAACCCCAGCTTTATTTTCCACACCAGTCAAGTGCGGGTATCTGCTGTGGTTCTATGACAATTCAACAGCACATATAGGAATGGCTTTATATTCACCCAGCAACATCCTACAAACAGCGAGTATCGAATTTACGTGGGACACTTATAAAGTCATTCTGTTAGAAATGCACGTTAGAGTAAATGGTTAATAAGAATTTGCTCTCTGTAAGGAAAAAAAAAAAAAAAGGCCAGTCCTCATGCCTCAAGAAAGGTGAGACATGCAGGGAAAATGGGTCTTCCACCTCTCTGCAAACTCTCCAATAAGCCAAATTTTCTTGAGAAGCATTGTTTCTCTGACTAAAGAGCAAAAATAAATACATATTGGGTAGGTAAGACCTTGTGCTCCAAAGCAGCTCTAATACATTTGTCCAACGAAGACCAGCTTCAAGTTAGGGGACTTTTTTATTTTTAACCTGTAAAACCTGGACAAACCTGCCCTCCCTCTGGTGGGCAGCCAAGCAGTGAGTTACTGTGGTACTATGGCATGGGGAAGGCATGATGAACGGGGAGCTGACTCTGCTGCTGTTTCGTGGGGATGGCAGAGACTTTAGGACACTGAGTCTCATATACAGAAGATCGAGGCTTCTAGGGTCACAGAGCAGACTGAGTTGATTGTATGCCTGCTAGAAAGGGACAAATGGGGTCAAAGGTGTTCCTCCAAGTCTTGAGCAGAACTGACAACCACTGGGGCCAATGAAAAACAAAGATGGCTGGTTTCCATGGCAGCCTCACTAATTCCACTTAATCACCACCCCCACAAAAGGACCAAGATGGGACTGCTTGGCCTGTCACTCCACAGTCCAGAGCTATAGGTGAACCACTAAGGTCTGGGTTTCTCCAGAAGCTGAGGGCATGAGGCACCGTGGCCATTACGCTCTGGGGAGAAGACCAGGGAAGCAGAAGGTGAGACAGAGCTAGACCAGCAGTACCAGAAAAAAGAAGAAAAGCTTTCCTTGGGCTGGAAGACTACCACTCACCCATGAGGAAAAAACCCTAAATAACTGGTGACTTCTGAAGCAAAGCTCCATAGGCACCTGGGGCAAATGTGGGGCCTATTTGTGTAGGGACCCAGGCACCCTTACTAAGACTTTTCTCCCCCTGTGATGGTTCAAACAGTGTCCCTCCCCAATTCATGTCCACGTGGAACCTCAGAAAATGACCTTATTTTTGAAAAGGGTCATTTCAGGGGCGTTCCTGGTGGCGCAAGGGGTTAAGACGCACCACTGTGAAGCTATCTGCAGCCACTGCAGCACAAGTTCAATCCCTGGCCAGGGAGGTGACCCACATGGCGCAGCAGACAGACAGACGTACAGGGAGAGAAGGCCATGCGACAACAGAGTCACAGCCTGGCATGATGCAGCTACAGGCCAAGACGTGCTAGCCACGGCATGCTGGAAGAGGCAAGGAAGGTTCTTCCTTGAGAGTCATTGTGGACAGCACAGCCACCAAGTCCTCAGATTTCAAACTTCCAGCTTCCAGAAGTAGGTGAGAAACATTTCTGTTGTTAAACATCCCCAAGTTTATGGGACTTTGTCGCCACTGCCCTAGAAAACCAACAAACACCTGCTCCGCAGTCCACCCTTCTCAGTCTCAGCCCAGAGGCAGCCAGCAAGACACACAGGCCAGTCCCCCAGCCCAGGGGACTTTTCCACCTTCCCAGCGCCCATCAGCACCACCCCCCTGGAGTTGAGGGGAGGGCGAGGATCACATTTCAGCTGCCCCCTCCTTCTGCCACAAGAGGCAAAGAGAAAGGGAGTGTTTATTTTCTTCCCAAAGCCTCCTAGCTTTGCAGTCGCTCAATTAGATTGGTGTTTCTTAAATTTTATTCAGCCCCACAATGAACCTATACATTTTTTTTTGGGGGGGGGCATAACTATGTATTCTTTACACAACATTTACCTAATATCTCTTTTTACCCAATCATTACTTTTACTTAGGTCAGTTTATTTTAAAATGAACTACCCAGCAAGCTTATAATAAATGGAAAATCAGCATCATTTACCTGTGCAGAACATGTAAATATGTTTAACTGCACATTAAAACTATGTGCAGGGCCTCCCCGGTGGCGCAACGGTTGAGCGCTGGGTTGCGAAGCTGCCCGCAGCCTCTGCGACGCCGGTTCGATCCCCGGCTGCTCCCCGGCCACCAGAGGAGGGTCCCACATGGCGCACAGACCTCTCCTGCCGCCCGCTGCTCCCCTCAGCAGTGTACTTCGGTCCTTCTGCCTGCTCTGCTCCCCGCTCTGGTGAATTCTCTCACCCTCCCGCGCTTCTGACTGTACCCAGTGCTTGTATAAATAAATAAAATAAAAATAAATCTTTAAAAAAAAAAAAAAAACTATGTGCAATTGTTTATTTATATATATATTTATACATATACAATATACATCTTTAAAGTCCACTCATGTGCCACTTAAAACTAATCTCGGGTGACAATACTATGGGAAATACTGATTTAGCAGTAGAGCTTAGAGCTCTGGGCTCCTAATCTCAAATCTCCACCCGACGCTTGGAGGAGAAGGTTAAGGGCAGGAGCAGCGCAAGGCACCGAGTTCCGAGTTCCCACGCGGGACATCCCGGGGACAAGAATTTGAGGGTGAAAAGACCTTGGAATCTCGGGTCCCGCGCGGAACCAGGGCTGGGTGGGGGGAGACTGACCTTCTCGCGCAGGGTACAGTGGACGTCCGAGGCGACGCGCCCATCCCACCAAGGCTCATCCATCCTCGCGTACGCGGCGCAGTGATCCGCGGCTACCGGGCTCCGAGGGCGCACCCTGCGTGGACACGCGCAACTTCAGCGGGCGCGCCGCGCCCCTGCGCCCCGAACCCCCGCATCGCCATTCTCCGGGCCTGGGCCGGGGCTCCCCCGCTCTGCGGCGCTGGCGCTCGCCCCCCGTCCCAGCCAGGTGGCGGGGCCCCCTCCCCTCTGCTCGCGGGGCGCGGGGCGACTTGGAGCTGCGCACCAACTTGTGGGGTTTTATCTGCCCCTTTGCAAAAAGTTGCAGGGAAAGTTGCCGTCCCCGCTAGCTGGCTCCGGAATGGGGCTCCCGCGGCGGCCACCGGCTCGCCGTCCCCAACTCCTCCCCCGCCGCCCAGCCTTTGTCCTGCTCCCACATCCTGCCCTCGAGCCGGGGCGCAACTCACGCATCCCTCTCCGGGCGTGGGGGGCTGCGGGCGCCGGGCCCCTCCCAGACCGAGCCCGCCGTGTCCGGGGTGCCCGCTCGCGCCCAGGCCCCTGCGCCCGGCGCTCCGCTCGCCGCGCAGCCGCCTCCGCCGACCCGCTGGCCTCGGCTGCCGCCGCGCCCCTGCGTGCGCCCGGGTCCCGCCGCGGCTCGCAGCCTCCGGGCCGCCGGGGGCCTCCCTCCCTCGCTCGGGGAATTGGGGGCCGGGCCTCGCGCATGCGCCGCCGGGCCCGCACCCCGCGGGGCGGGGGGCTGGGAATTGCAGTCTTTCTCTCGCCGGCGCTGGCTCGGCTTCCTGCCTGCCTGCCCTCCTCCCCCACCTCGGTGGCGAGCTTCCTCTCACCTGGGCGGAGGCTCCCGGGGCCCCCCGGGGCGCCCCGCCGGGAGCGCGGGCACCGCCGCGCCACCTGCGCGCACCACGCGTGAAACGCGCCCCCGGAAAGTTCCGACTCCGCGTGCGTTCCTCCAGGGAACCTTCCGTGGCTTCCACCTGTTTCTTTTTCTTTTTTTCCCCACCTTGTTCGGCAATGGGGAGGTATATTTCCAAAATTGTAGTTCCCACGAAAGTTCCAGAAGGGCCACTCTTGATTATGCACAAGTCCCTTCCTCCAAAGGAGCCTCAATCAATCAACTGGTATTTATTGTACGCCTGCAAAATTTAGATCTACTCTAAAGTCACCCTGGGGGGTGGGGCCAAGCATTGCTTTTTTCATTCTGTCGCTTGTTTTTGGCAAGGCACTCTGTAGAATCAGCTGTGGAGCTGACCCTGCTCTGCGTTGTCTTGGTTGATGCTCTGTATGATACTTTTGAAGCTTCACGGACCTGGAATCAAATCCAGCTACCAACTGAGTGATTTTTTTTTTTTTAACCACGTTCCTCAAATTCTTTAAGCTTTGGAACCCCCATATATGAAATAGGAATGGCACCGGCCCGCCAGAGATAATGTGTCATTAAATAGGTAATTCTCGTCTAGGACTAATCACCATGGGGCTGCAAATAAATAAATAGCTGCTACCAAAGAGTCTTGAGTTTCTTACTGGTTTTCTGCAAGTAAAGACTCACCTGGGAAAAACAAAAAGCAATGTAGCCTGATTTGATAAGTAAACTTTGGGGCTTAAAAAGCAAGTTTACTGTAAAAAAAAAAAAAACAAAAAAAACAAAAAAAAAAACAAAAAAAACCCCACAACTCTTGTAAAAATACCTAGGAATAAATTTATTTAAAATGCAGGCTCTTGGGCCTCCCTGGTGGCACAAGGGGTTAAGACACAACCTATGAAGCTGTCTGCAGCCTCTGCAACACGAGTTTGAATCCATGGCCTGCCAGGGGAGCAACCCACATGGCGCAGCAGACCTCTCCTGACTTGCCTGCTGCTCCCCTCAGCAGTGTATTTCAGTCAGTCTGCCTGTTCTATTCCCCACTCTGTCTCTGGTGAATCCTCTCAACCCCACACCTCTGGCCTGTACCCAAGCTCTTGTATGCATAAATAAATAAATCTTTAAAAAAATAAGTAAATAAGATTCAGGCTCTTAATGAAGAAATTATAAAGGTGAAAACAAAATGAAGGCCTGAAAAAATAGGAGATAAAAATACTAACTTTATCCAAATTAATTCTTAGTGAAATCCTAATGGTTGTGGGTAGATGAGGCTGGGGAAGGGGGTGACACTTTTTCTAACACTCAAATAGAAGGATATCCATGAGAAAAGCAAAGATTTTTGTATTTTTTTAAATGCGGGGGTGGAGGGGTTTAGACCTTTTGTCAATCTTAAAATGTATTGCAAAGCTATAATTAAAACTATGCTGATACAAGTATGCATGGATAAGCATCAGAAAAACAATTGAAAGTCCAGAATATTTAAAAAAAATTAACTATGATAAATATAGCATTTCACTTTTGTGGGGGAAATTTTAATTCTTTAAGAAATTAGGCTGGGGAAATTAGGTAAGGGGGGGCTAGTAAAACTATGGATTTATTTAAATCATCACTAAAATAAATACAAAAACCCAGAGAACTACACACAACAACAACAAATCAGGGAATAATTAAAAGAAGTTATGGGTGAATTATTTCAAGAGGAGGCCCAGATTTTTTAGGCAAAAGAAGACACTAAAGGGAGGAGGTGTATATACACATTTGAACAAACATGTAAGACTTAGATATATCAAATATCATCAAAAAAACAAGTGACAGATTGGAGAAAATATTTTTAACAAATTCAACAAAAGATTGATCTATTATGTAGTTCTCTTATAAATCAATACACATAAGCACTGACACTGAAAATGGAAAAGCGGATGAACAGAGATGCCATAAAAGGAAAATTTCAAATGGATAAGTAGCATTTTTAAAATACTCACACAGACGAGCAAAGATATTGAAGACATTTTCAAAACAGTGGGGTACATCTTTATCAAGGATTTTTTAAAGGTAATCCTCAAAGTGATAAATAAATAATAAACAATGTTGTTGAGAATATAAATCAATGCCATCTTTCTGAAAGACTGTATAATCAAAAAAAGTAAAGAATTTATCATTTGATCCAACTATTCTGCCTCTGAAAATTTATTCTGAAAAAAATAAGATGAGTACAAAGATTTATTTACAGAGGATTTCATCTCAGTGTTTTTTATAGTGAACTATTACAACTGGGACTGGTTAGTGATTGGGCCCTTAAAAAAAATATTTATGAAAAGGAATAATGACTTGGGGAAATGTTTGTGATCTATTACTTGCGGAAAGAGAGTAGGGCATGATCTCAACTATGCTGCATTCACACATCAAGAAACTGAAAATACTCATAAAAATATTAACTGTGTGATCAGGGTGGTAGGATTAGAAAATATTTTTTTAATGGAAAAAATATTTTTATTTTAATTAAGAAACAAAAATACAACCATGTAAAAACTTTGGGGTCACTGATGTATATAGTTTTTTTACTCTATATATTATGATGCTTAAGGAAGTTTTGCTTTTGGGTTTAACCAAATTTAAGGTTTCTTAGGATTAGAAAATTTTAATTTACTTTTTATTCTAGTATATGTGTATTTTCTAAAGTTCCTGCAAGAAACGTATTATGTCCATAATCAGAAAAAGGGAAGAGGGCCTCCCTGCACAACCTCCGAAGCTTTCCGCAGCCACTGAAGCATGAGTTCAATCCTGGGCCAGGGAGCTACCCACGTGGCGTAGCAGACCTCTCCTGTCTCGCCTGCTGCTCCCCTCAGCAGTGTCTTTCAGTCAGTCTGTCTGTTCTATTCCCTACTCTGTCTCTGGTGAATCCTCTTATCCCCCACAACTCTGGCCCGTACCCCAGTTCTTGTATGTCTAAATAAATCTTAAAAATAAAAGAAAAAGGGAAGAATGAGTGTTACTTTAAAACAATCACATAACATACAAGCGAGACTTTCCACTAATAATTCAGTTTTTGTTTTTGTCTTCATAGCAGTATTTTTTCTTTCTCAATAATCTTTCTCTGCAGGGAGTATTGAAAAAAGGAAGGTCTTTCTCACTTAATAGTTCAGAGTCTTCTTTTCCTAAACTTTAGCTGTTTATCAGGATTTCTGATAGGTAAGAGAGGCAGGCAGAAACTTTTTTTCTAGGAGTTTTTTTTTTAATTTATCTTTTTTAAAAATTTATTTGTTCATGCATACAAGAACTGGGGTACAGGCCAGATGTGCGGGAGGGTGAGAGGATTCACCAGAGACAGAGTGGGGAGCAGAACTGGCAGACGGACTGAAACACACTGCTGAGGGAAGCAGCGGGCAAGACAGGAGAGGTCTGCCGCTCCATGTGGGATTCTCGCTGGCCGACAGTAATCGAACCTGTGCTGCAGAGGTGGTGGACAGCTTCATAGCGCTGCGCTCAACCCTCTGGGCCATCAGGGAGGCCTCCAGGAGCTATATTAAAAGGATCTGAAACACCCTTCACCATACAATCTTCAGCGTGTCATTCTCAGGGGGCTCTGGTGTCTCTAAGAATACAAATATATTTCACAGGTAAATTGGTGGCTTTGGTGAAGTCACTGCCCACAGGTAAAAATGGCTTCCTCTGGTGGAGAGGTGGTATATGGTGGAACAGATAGGACAGATAGGGCAACTAGAGCGACTTCTCCCACTCACTCCATCACCAGCCAAGCCAAGAATCATTCATTCAAAACCTAAACCTTTATCAAGTCCTTACTGTGAGTCAATTGCTAGGTTCCTTCCACCAGCAATCCCTGAAGCTCACAGATTTAAAGCAAGAGCGTCCTACCTATCTACAATATTCCCAATTATCAAAAGAGGGAAAAAATTTTTTTCTCTCATTTTTCTAATCTGTCTTACAGGGCAAATCTAGTAATATGGATTACTCACTTTGCACTAACCTCTCTTTTCCCCCTTATGATGGTAAGCTCTCGTGTTGCAGTATATATGGTAAAATGTCTGTGGTCTCCAGCTGGTCCCAGAGCTTCTCCCCCTCTCCAGGGATAGCCAGTGCCTGGCATTTCCTTCCAAAGTCATTATGCCTTCACTAACACAGACATGCAGGCCTCTTCTTTCACACGGAGGTGGTAGGTAGTGTGCATCTTTCTCTCCTAATTATTTTCCACTTAGTGG